TAGTTTGAGAAGGAGTAAGTATTAACTCTTTAAATGTTTGGTAGAATTCTATGAAGCCATCTGGTCCTGGACTCTTGTTTGTTGGGAGTTTTTTGATTACTGATTCATTTTTGGTAATTGCTCTGTTCAAATCTTCTATTTCTTCTTTAGTTATGATAGGTTATATGTTTCTAGGAATTTACCCATTTCTTCTAAGTTGTCCAAATTGTTGGTCTTTATAAGTTTTCATGTTGTTACAATTGTATTTCTGTGATTGGTTGTTATTTCTCCTCTTTCACTAGTGATTTTGAGTCTTTTTTTAAATGAGTCTGGCTAGAGCTTTATCAATCTTGTTGATCTTTTCAAAGAATCAGTTCCTGGTTTCATCGATCTGTTCCTTTAGTTTGTTTCTACATAATTTCTTTCTGCTCTAATCTCTTCTTCTTTCCTTCTGCTGGGTTTTGGGTTTTGTTTGTTGCTTTTTTTTAGCTCCTTTAATTGTAAGGTTAGAGATTTTTCTTGTTTCTTGAGGTAGGTCCGTATTGCTATCAACTTCCCTCTTAGAACCACGTTTGCTGCAGCAGGCCTGGCAATCTGAATTATGGGAATGCTCCTCTCCCCAAGGTCTAGGGCTCCATATTTGGCCCTTCCTACTAGACCTGGTGTTCAGGTCATCAGAATGAAGCTAGATTCAGACGTTCTCTAGGAAATATTCCATCAGAAGTGAAAAGTCTTAATCGTGAGGGGGCGGGGGTCTCCAAATTGAATGAAAAAAAGGGATAAAAAGATAAAAGGGGGGGGAGCAGAAACATAGATGAGAAAAAGGCCATCTCCATTTTGCCCCTGCATATGCAGCTCTAAAAGCTGATGGCCTTTGAACACTATGCAGGTGGCAGGAGGAGACCAGGCCAGGCTCTGCTGTTGCTGTTAGGGCTTCAGTGGTGCATGTACACGTAGAGTGGGAGGGCAGGGTTATAGGGAACCTTAAATACCACAATCTGGGCCTGGCTCAAGGTGAGGGGAACGGGGGAGGGGGAAAAAAGGACCCACTCTGAATTTGAGTGCAAAAAATAAATATAAAATTTATTAAAACACCCACAATATTTTAAAGATACCAGGAGTAATACAGTTCACAAACCCAGTTGTTTGTGTAAATTATAATAAAATACAAATCAAAAAAGGATACATACTTGCAATTTCTAGGCACCCTAAATTAAATTTACTGAAACACTGGGGGAGAAGGGAGGGTAAGGAGGGGTAGCTCAGGAGGCAAACCAATAAAGTGGGAGGAAAAAATATTAACAAAAAGTTAAAAATTATACAAAATAAAATTATCAGCATAAATTTACTGTACTAAGAATATCTACAGTTTAATAATACACATCCTATTGCCTTGAGACATTGCAAAAATCTACCATTCATCCATCAACCCCAGATAAACTTCATTTCAAGTAGCCACAGTTACAAAGTCAAGACGGAATATTCAAGTATGGTTGTTAAGTTCACCTCCATCGGAAGCCAAGTAACCAAACAGGAATTCAAAGAGAGAAGAAATAAAACACATCAAAAAGCTACAGGGGTTCTAGATTAAGTCTAATGCGTTAATATGCCACAATATGACCTGCCCTTATTTCTTTTTATAATTAGAATATGTGGAAAAGAAATGACATCACTCCTGTTTTTCTCCTCCTTTTTCCCCTCAAAAGAAAGAAAGAAAGAAAGAAAAAGAAAGGTACTGGAATCAAGATTTGGATGTTCAAATGAGCCCAATAGTATTTTTTTTTAAATCCCCATGTGAATAGTGAGGAGTTTTCCCTGAATGACGACGGGTGGTCAAAGTGAGAAGGGCGCAAACGGTACCGCTACAGAAGCATCCCTGATATCAGAAGAGAAGCGGGGGAGGAAGTGGGCCGGGTCCCTCACTGGTCCTCAGGCAGGAGGCAACTTCGGACCTTGCACGTCTGTGCCGCAGTCTCTGCTCAGGGGAGAAGCCTATTGCTCGGCTCTGTGGGCAGCTCTGTGGGAGGAGGGGCCGGGAGCGCCAAGACGGGGTCTCGAGTGGAAACACGCTCTGCACACGCGGGGGTGGGGCTGTATAACCTACGCTGGGGTATGCACCTCCAAAAATTTTGGTCCAGGGTGTGTCGAAGTTGGCCGTGTACTAGAGCAGATGCCGCTGGCTAACCAAGTAGGTTTTGAGGAAGTCATTTCAAATGACAGCAACGATGCCTGAAAAAGCTCAATGAGATGGGCATAGGAGATTCACATTTTATCCGAAAGCAAAACTTACAAAGAAAATAAAAAGTCAACCACACTCCTTCCTTTAGATGTTCTGCCATGATTAACTGCTGAAGAGTGAAAAATAAAATGACCCCAGATTCTTCAAGGTCAAGTCAGTCATCAGAGGGACAACCTGCAGCTATCAGACCCTCACGGAATCTACTTTACTGAAGTTGTCACAATGTCCTGTTTTTGAGGTATTTAAAAAAAATTATTGTGACAGTGGATGACACAAAATGGAGCTTCCTGTTACGTTTCTCAAACATTAACTTTTGTGGACCCAAGAGGAAATGTAGAGTAGCACCAACTAAAAAGCAGCCTCAGTGGCATCAAGCGAGCAAAGAAAGCTCCTTCAGTTGGAACATGAGGAGGGACAGGCAGGAGCAACGCTGGGGCAAGGGCTGTGAGGGGCACAGGAACGAGCCTGCTGCCCACCGTGGCCCTGGCCAGTGCCAGGGGAGGAACGAGGTCCATGGGGAACGCCTTTGAGACCCTCAGAGGTGCCTACTTGGCACCCTGGGCTGCAGGAGGAAAATGTGAGTCCTTGGCTACGAGAATGGCTGCCATGTTAGAAGGGGCAGGAGTACTAGACTCCCCTTCCTTTCTCATCAGGCCTGAGAGGACAGATGTGTCACCAGAGCACCTGCCAAGCCAGGCCGGCCCACTCCCGTCATGGTTAGGGAGCTAGCTGCCTTCAGAACTTGCCTTTCTGTGTTCGGCCACCAAGGGAAGAAGAATAAAACAAAACAGAAAAACTGCTCAGAGCAGGTTTTAGCACGGTAAACAGAGGTCTAAGGAGACAGCACCAAACGGGGGATGGGGGAAGCCAAGAGAGACCGGAGCCCACCTTGTTTTTGGTTGGTTGTGGTTTCAGAACCTTGATAGCACCTCAGCAGGACAGGATCAGGGACAGTCACATTGAAACACCATAGCACCATTTTATTTAGACTATTTCAATTCATAAAAATGCTTCCTAGTCCATAAAACACACTTCAGTAACAAAAGGAAAGAGATTGGTTGAGGCACGTTAGGGATATCACTTAAATTTTCCACCAGCATCACCTTGGTTTTGAGATCTGGCGGTGGTTCAACTTCACAAAGTCTGGCTGGGTTTCTCTCCATGAAATCAGGTTACCCTCTCCTCATCAACCGTGTCCTCACACATCTAGCACTGTTTGGTACAAAGCACTTGAGCTCTGCTCCTTTCCTGGCTTTAGCACTTTAAAAACCCCTTGCTCTGTAAACTACCGTTTCCAAAAGAGGCTGGTGGAAGGACCAAGAGGGGGCAGGGTATGATCTCTTTCCATGCACACCACGGTCACCCCGGCAAGAGGGCAAGCAGTACCCACGAAGCCAGCGTGTGGGAAACTTAGGCCCTGGCAAAAAAAAAAAAAAAAAAAAAAAAAA